TCCTTCCTTCCTTCTTGTGGGAAGGGCACTTAAGGAATGACTCAGTCAGGAACCCTCTGTGTGTTGTGAGATTGTGTGTGATCAAACTGGGACTTGTCAAATGTTCTGTGTTCTGCCCGTGGCTTAGGTGTGACTTGGAAGTGCTGTGAGGAGCAGCTGAGGGAGCTGGGAAGGGGCTGCAGAATCCCTGAGGGAGCTGGGAAGGGGCTGGAGAATCCCTGAGGGAGCTGGGAAGGGGCTGGAGAATCCCTGAGGGAGCTGGGAAGGGGCTGGAGAATCCCTGAGGGAGCTGGGAAGGGGCTGGAGAATCCCTGAGGGAGCTGGGAAAGCTCAGCCTGGAGCAAAGGAGGCTCAGGGGGAATTTCTGGCTCTGCACAAGTCCCTGGCAGGAGGGGACAGCCGGGGGGATTTGGGATCTGCTCCCAGGAACAGGGACAGGAGGAGAGGGAACGGCCTCAGGCTGGGCCAGGGGAGCTCAGGGTGGGCAGCAGCAGGAATTTCCCCATGGAAAGGGGGGTCAGGGCTTGGCAGGGGCTGCCCAGGGAGGTTTGGAGTGTCCATCCCTGGAGGTGTCCAAGGAAGGGCTGGAGGTGGCACTCAGCTCTGGGCTGGGGACAGGGTGGGCATCAAGCACAGCTGGGACTCCATGGGCTGGAAGAGCTTTTCCAGTTTAAATTATTTTGGGATCCTGCATATTTTCCTTTGAACCTGAGCTTCAGGATCCCTCTGATGCCCTCTGACCAGCCATTGCACGTTCTTTAGCAGCTGTTTTGGAGCTGCTGTGGAATCAGTTGTTTCCCTCTGCAGGTTGCCTTACACCCTGGGGAACCTCCCTCAGCTGAAATTCCTGGCGCTGGAGGGAAATCCTTTGAGAACCATTCGGAGAGACCTGCTGCAAGTAAGCACTGGGGTTTGGTGTTGTGTGTGAACATCTGCACAGGGGGGAGCTGGAGCTGCTGGAGAGGGTCCAGAGGAGGCACCAGGATGAGCAGAAAAATGGAGCAGCTCTGCTGGGAGGAAAGGCTGAGAGAGCTGGGAATGTTCACCAGGAGAGGAGAAGCTTTGGGGTGACCTCACTGTGGCCTTGCAGGGCCTGAAGGAGCTCCAAGAGAGCTGGAGAGGGACTGGGGACAAGGGCTGGATGGGATCTTGGGCAGGAATTGTTCCCTGGCAGGGTGGGCAGGCCCTGGGATAGAATTCCCAGAGCAGCTGGGGCTGTCCCTGGATCCCTGGCAGTGCCCAAGGCCAGGCTGGAGCAGCCCGGGACAGGGGAAGGTGTCCCTGCCATGGCAGGGCTGGGATGAGATGGTATTTAAGGTCTTGCCTCAATTAAGGATCTAGGATTCAGTTCTCTGTTCTCTTGCAGGGAGGCAGCAAAGGGAGGGTGTTAGTTGTTCCTTAGAAGAGGAGTCCTTGGGGCAGCAGGGAGACTGGAGTGTGGGCACCACTCCTGCTGCAGAATTTCCCTGTTATTTTATCCCCGGCAGGCCCCTCTCCTCAGTGGTGCTGTACATTCCTACTTCTGTGCCTTTGCCAGGGTTGTAAAATCAATGTTCCCAAAGCCCTGGGATGCTCCAGAAATAAGCAGAGCTGACAAGTCTGTGTTGCAGTGAAATCTGTAACATCTGCCAGGAGAGGGAAACCCTTGTGTGCCTGGCTGAGGGAGCACAGTGTGCACCGAGTTAATGAGCCCTTGTCCAAAGTGCTCCTGGAAAGGAGTCTGTGTCAGGGCTGCTGGAGTTCTGCTGTTCCCTGGATTACTGAGGATTTGCTGCTTCAGCTGCAGTTGTCACTCCTGGGCTGTATTTCCCACCTGGAGCAAGGGCCAGGCACGAGGAGTCTGTCAGGCCATGCTCTATTTGTGCTGCCTGGATCCATCACCAACACTAAATTTGTGTGGCTGCAATTTTCTCTGCCTGGCTGGATTTTTTCCACTTGGTTTAGAGGATCAATTGATGGAGGAGCTTTAAGGCTCCCCAGGCACTGCTTGGAGCAGGTGGATACTGAGATAAAGGACTGGGGTGAGTGTAGAGGAGCAGCAGAATCTTCTCTTCTCCAGCCCTGCCCAGCTCACTTTCTCTTCCTCAGGCCTCTCATTCCAGTCCCAACCCCATTCCTGGTTCTTGATGAATTTCCAGTTGATTCCTGGTAAATCCTGGTGTGCTTTTGTTAACTCCTGTGCTGTTACTTGCCTCTGGAGCTTTGCCTTGCTCTCTGCTTTCCTCCCCACATGTCTGTCACTGAGATTTCAGACCTTCACCTTTCCCTCACAACTTCCCAGCTTGTTCCTTGTTGGCTTCCCTTGCCATGCCCAGCACAGCCCCACTCTCCCTGCCTGTCTCCTTGTGAGTTCCTTCTTTTCCAACATCCACATTCTCTTTATCCCTCTGTCTTCATCCAGTCTCTTAGGCTGTGTCAGCTGGAATGAGAATTGTTCATTCACATCCAGCACTTCAGGTCAGTCCCTGCTTCTGAAACCTGTAAAATCGTACCCCAGACCTGTAAAATCATCCCCCAAACCTGTAAAACCATACCCCAAACCTGTAAAATCATACCCTAAACCTGTAAAATCATACCCCAGACCATTAAAATCATACCCCAAACCTGTAAAATCATACCCCAAACCTGTAAAACCATAGCCCAAACCTGTAAAATCATACCTTAAACCTGTAAAATCATACCTTAAACCTGTAAAATCATACCTTAAACCTGTAAAATCATACCCTAAACCTGTAAAATCATACCCTAAACCTGTAAAACCATAGCCCAAACCTGTAAAATCATACCTTAAACCTGTAAAACCATAGCCCAAACCTGTAACATCATACCTTCAAACCTGTAAAATCATACCTTAAACCTGTAAAATCATACCCCAAACCTGTAAAATCATATCCCAGACCTGCCTTTCCCCTAAAACCAACAGTGCAGAGGAGTTTGGGCTTCACAGATTTATGCTGTGTCTGACCACTGGAAGTTGCTGTGAGAGAATTGAGGGAAATCTTTGGAGCTGTTAAAATCTGTTGAAATTTTCAGCTGGAATAAATAGAATTTTAACTAAGCAAGTTCCCAAGCTGCTGTGGGATTTTCAGTGGGATTTTTAGTCAGGGGTGCTGTGCTGGCATTGTCCCTCTGCATTGTCCCCCCAGCTGCAGAAATCCAGCTGAGTGACTTGGGGTTTGTTTCTTTTTCAAAGAAAGGCACCCAGGAACTGCTGAAATACCTGAGAAGCAAAATCCAAGGTACGTTGCTTTCTTCCACTTCATTTTAAGGAGAATGTTCTGAGAAATGAAAGTAAATTAGAATTTAGGGAGGGTGGTTGTTTAAATCCAGGTGGCCCCAGTTATCCTGCAGTAATAATTTCCTTTACTCGACAGTTTGCTGTGATATTTCTGTTTCTTTTTCTTATCCTGTTATCTAATACTGAATAATAAACATTCTGAATTGAGGATTATCCTTTACAAAACCTGATTCTCCCTGCTCAGCTGGATGGGAATTCCCATTTCAGGCATGCAGGAGCTTTTTCATGTGGATTGTGGGGAGTAATCAGAAGGAACTTCATAGAGGAGGGTTTGTAAATATTAATTATTTTACTGAAATTGTGGCCAGATGTGCTGGTGTGGACAAAGCTGCTCTAGGTCATAATTTCCAGTCAGAATTCCCTGGTTTTTGCAGTTGCCAGCTCCCCACCCCACGGAGCAGAGCCTGACAGAGCAGCTGCCACCAGCCCTTCTCCCTCCTTCACCCTAAGAGAACCCCCAGATCCAGGATGGTAAAAAACCTTTATTAGGAAATGATTGAAATAATCTCAATTGGATGATCCTGAGTTGAGCCAGAGTGGAGCAGGACTGGAGAGGGGTGGTGGCAGCTGCCTGGGGCCACTCAGAGCAGCTCAGCTGTGTCCCTGCACCCCTCTGCTGTCCCCAGATGATGCACCTGGCCCCAATGAAGAGCCTCCTGTGACAGCCATGACTCTTCCCAGCCAGTCCAAGGTCAACATCCACGCCATAACCACACTGAAATTACTGGAATACAGGTATTTGGGAATATTACCCATTCCTGAAGTTGTGAGAACACTGTCCTGTTTGATGCCTGTGGGTTTTTTCCCCACCTTCATTATACACCAAGCTGTCCACAAGCTGCTTCTGGGCATTTTCCCCTTGAATTCCTGTGCTTGGGAATTTAGATTGGGATTTGAAATGGGTTTTTTTTGTATTGATATTCTGCAGTAACTCATTGAAATGCTGAATCCCAGCAGGTGCTTTTAGTACCTTTGAAACTCTTTATGATTGTCACTTGAACATCTTGTAGGAGGAATAACTGCTCAGTTACTCCTTAAATGGACCTGGAAGGGTTGGGAAAGGGAAAAAAGTCCTGTTTGGTGACATTGTGGACATGTGGCAGTGCTGGGAGCTTTCCACAGCTGTTCCCTCTGTTCTGCTCTTTATGTTCTCTGAAAGAAGGTGGAAATGCCCCGTTAATTAGCAGGCAGTGGTTAATTGGTGTCACTCCTGTCCCAGTGACAAGCAGGCCGCAGAGATCCCCGAGGCCGTGTTCGACGCCGTGGGCGCCAATCCCGTGGCCACCGTGAACTTCAGCAAGAACCAGCTCAGGGAGATCCCCCCAAGGTACTGCTGGGGAGGCCATTCCCAACTGGGATTTGCTCTCCTGCCTTTGTTCTCAGCATCCTGTTCTCCCCCTGAGCCGTTTGTGCACTCAGGTCTCAGCATGAGGATGTACCGGTGCCCAGGTGGGGCTGTGCAGTCCCTGGGGCCAGCCACAGCCAAGGAAAAGCTTTCCCTGGCACTGCTGGGAACAAATAATCCCTCTGTGTCAGGAAGAAGGTTGCTGGGTCTCTGGCAGCCCCAAAAAAATCACCCACACTGGTTTTTGAGGACAGCTGAATTTATTCCCAGGTGTGGGGAGCACTGGAGCGCTGGCACAGGCAGATCAGGGAGGTGCAGTCCCAGAGGGACAAAAAGGATTCTCAGGCTCAGTTTTGGGAGCTGCTGCTTGTGCATCCCATGCTTTGTCACTGTGTGAGGGGCTGCTGAATTCCCTGGGAGAGGCGTACCTCAGAATTCCATGCCAATCCAGACAGGACACAGGAGTGTTTTCTCATTTAATTGCCTTTTGTTTTAGGGCTAAGCCAGAGATTCTCTTTGAGGGGTTTGGCAGAGAACTTTTGGAGCTGTTAAAGCCTTTACACCAAAGCTATTATGTACTTTATTATGTTAGTACAATAAATCAATGCAGCAGCAGATACTCCCAGAATTTGTAACAGCACAACAGGTGAACAGAAACAAAAGATGAGAAAAAGTAGGATTTTTTTTGTCAGTTTTTTTGGCTGCAGAAGAAGGAGTGTTAAAGCATCTCCAGGGCAGGAGGTGGCAGTGATGTCACCTGTGGTCTCTGAAATAGCTCCTGACTGCATTTACTGAGGAGGCTTTGGGTAGCAGCATTTGTGAGAGAAAATGCAATAACTGTAGGTAAATGGAGCTTTGTTTTACCCCAAGGCTGGAGGAGCAGCAGCCCTCACAGGTGGCATTGCATGACCTCCTCAAAATCCCTTCAGAAAAAACACAGCATGTCCTTGATTTGTAGAATAAACCAGGTTTTTTAGTAACTTACAAAGCAACCATGAGCTTCCATAATGAGAGCATCTTCCTTTTGTGCTTCAGGCTGGTGGAGCTGAAAGACTCCGTTTGTGATGTCAGCCTGGGCTTCAACAAAATCTCCTCCATCTCCTCAGAGCTGTGCCTGCTCCAGAAATTAACACATTTGGATCTCAGGTTGGTGATGTGTGCTGCAATTCCTTGCCTGGGAGCTTCTTTCCCTGCCTCCCTCCCCAGAGCAGCCATCTGTTCCAGTGGGATGGCAGTGCTGAAATCAGCTCTCACTCCCAATCTTCCTCCCTGGCTGAGCTGCAACAGGACGTGGCCTAAATTTGGGCCTTGCTTAAAAAAGACACAGGAAGAAATGGACCAGTTCTGAGCTGTGCTGGGGGAGAGGTCCTCAGTCAGAGAAGGGTTCTGAGATGTTGCTATTTCAAAATGCTCCCCAGAAGAAAACCACACCAAAAAATCCTGGGAATTAGCACAGGGAAGGTGCAGGCTTTGTTGCACTGCCAGGAAGAGAGGCAAGAGATGGTTCCTTGTTGTCACCTTGCTTCCTGTGATTCCTGAGAAATGCTTCTGGCATTGTTTCAATCAGGATTAGCTCAATCCATTGATTCTGGGGAGCTTTAAATACTAATAATAAATAATTATAACCTGACTGATTGACTCTGGCTCCAGGGGCTGGGCACTTTGAGAAGCTTTCCTCTGGAAACACAGAGCTAAATTTCCAGGCAGGTTTGTGCAGTTGTTGGGTGCTTGGGAATGCTTGGGAATACTTGGGAATCTTTAGAGGACAGGCTTGGAGTGTCCTCCTGGCAGAAATGGGAATCCCTGGCATGCTCTTGCCCCTGTTATGAGGCAGTGAACTGGCCCCAGACTGTGCAGCTGATCTGGGAATTCTCAGCCAAACCCCCAGCTAAGTTTAGTGCTTGTTGTTTGTTTTTCTTTAATAACAGAAACAATGTTCTGACAGCCTTGCCTGAGGAAATGGAGGCACTGAAAAGACTGCACACAATAAATCTTGCTTTTAATAGGTGAGCAACTCTTCAGTTGTTTGTTTGTTTTTTTTTTTAATACAGTAATAAAAAGAGCTGGGCTGAATTTGACACAACTTTCCTGTGATGTGAGAACAAGGAGCCACTTCAGCGAGCTGGGATGAAGTGCTCCTCTTTTGAATGCCTTGTTTCTGACTATCCCACCTCTCTCTCCCTGAAGGTTTAAGGTGTTTCCCAGTGTCCTGTATCACCTCCCAGCCCTGGAGACCATCCTGCTCAGCAACAACCAGGTGGGATCCATCGACCCCCTGCAGCTGAAGGCCCTGGAGAAGCTGGGAACGCTGGACCTGCAGAACAACGACCTCCTCCAGGTGCCCCCAGAGCTGGGCAACTGTGAGAACCTCAGGTGTGTGGGGTCATGGGGGCCTGCTTACAAACACCTGTCTGAGTCCTTCTGGAATGTTTGCCAGAGGAAAAAGCCCCCAGTGGCCTAAAAGTGTCCCTCTGACTGTCTGTAGAACAGGGCAATTTCTTCCATAATCTCTTCCCTAATTTCTCAGTGTTGCAGAGAGCTGTGGGAGTTGTTTCATCATTTAGAACAGATGTTGGGGGTCTGTGGGTTGTGTGAAGCTCGTGGTGGAGCCTTTGGGGGGATGACATTTCCTCTGCTCCCACTGAGCAGGGAGGTTGGACCAGCTGCTCCCTTCCAGCCTGAGCCACTCTGGAATTCTGTTTCTATATTCCAGAAGTTCTGTTCTCGCTCCTCCTGGCAGAGGCTGAAGGAGTGGGGTGTGTGCTACACCCCCACTGATTTATCAGCAGAAATTAAGACTCAGCTGTCTCAAAGCTCAGCTGCTGAGGATGAGGGAAGCAGAAACCCAAACTCCTTTATCAGGACAGAAGGGGAATTACCCAGGAATTTCAAAGGCCTCAGAAATCTGTGTGCAGTGGATGAGTGTGCTGGCACAAGGAGTTTTTACCCCAGTAACTAATCCCCATTTGCAGGAGCCTGCTGCTGGAAGGGAACCCGTTCCGCACGCCCCGCGCCGCCGTGCTGGCCAAGGGCACGGCTGCCGTGCTGGAGTACCTGCGGAGCCGTATTCCCACCTGAGCCCTGGGCCTGGGCACTGCTCCTGGGCCTGGGCACCCCTCCTGGGCCTGGGCACCCCTCCTGGGCCTGGGCATTCCCACCTGAGCCTGGGCACTCGTCCTGAGCCTGGGCATTCCCACCTGAGCCTGGGCATTCCCACCTGAGCCTGGCCTGGCCAAGGGCAGGGCTGCACTGCTGGAACACCTGCAGAGCCACATTCCAGGCCCACAGGAGCAGGCTGGTCCCCCCTGTCCCCCCATCAGCCCTGGGCTCCACTGCCCCATCCTTCTGCTCCTGGCTGGGAGTCTGCCTGGCCACGAGCCTTTGTTGCAGTGTTAAAAACCCAGGTGTGGAATATTCCCTGCCCTCTGCATGTTCCAGCAGGGATTTCAGCATCCCACCCTGCGTTTGCAATAAAGGACAGCAGGGAAAGCTGCCTTCAGCACAGCCACGGTGCTTCCTGCAGCTGAGCTGGGCTCTGGAGAGAGTCGTCACCATCAGAGCCTTGGGGCCAAAGGCAGAAGGGAGCACTGTGGGTTTTGTATTCCTTTTTTATCTTGTGTCACTGCTGTTCCCAGAACTGCCCTGGTGTGAGTGAGGCGGAGTGCTTGAGCTGTGAGGGGGTGAGAGGTGCCCCAGGTGTGTGCAGGGCTCACCTGGGTCAGAGGGGCTGGTGCTGCATGGAGACAATAAATGTTCCCTTGGACATCTGCTTTGGGTCCTTGAGCTGGAATTGAGCTTTGTACACAGGAGCATTGGGAACTTCTCTTCTTCAAACACCCTTCCAGTGGCCTGCAGATGCTACCTGAAACAGTGACAGTGCTGCCCTGTGGGCTCCACCACCTTCCAGGGCCTGACCCCCCTTTCCATGGGGAAATTCCTGCTGCTGCCCACCCTGAGCTCCCCTGGCCCAGCCTGGGGCCATTCCCTCTCCTCCTGTCCCTGTTCCTGGGAGCAGATCCCAAATCCCCCCGGCTGTCCCCTCCTGCCAGGGACTTGTGCAGAGCCAGAAATTCCCCCTGAGCCTCCTTTGCTCCAGGCTGAGCTTTCCCAGCTCCCTCAGGGATTCTCCAGCCCCTTCCCAGCTCCCTCAGGGATTCTCCAGCCCCTTCCCAGCTCCCTCAGGGATTCTCCAGCCCATTCCCAGCTCCATTCCCTGCCCTGGACACGCTCCAGCCCCTCAGGGTCTCTCATGGGCACAGCCCTGGAGGTTCTGTAGCACAGCAGGATTTGGCACAGGTCCACACTAAAGCTCCGAGGTTTTGAACGTGTCCAGATGAACATGAAACACTCTGAGCTCACCTCAGCTCTCCAGGTGTGGGAATTGCCTCCCAGCTGGAGCAGGGGTGGCTCAGGGGGCTCCACCTGCCCGTGGTCCCCAAGGAGGGAGCAGGAGCTGGTCCTGGCTGCAGGGAAGTGGGAGGCACTGACCTGTCTGGGAAAGGGGTCTGGGGGGGTGGGAATGGGAAGGGTGGGATCTGTCCTGTGGGAAATAGGTGGCAGTGCCAGTGTGCAGTGCCAGCAGGGGACACTGGAGCTCCAGGGACATTCTGCAGCTCCTTGATGCTGGAATGCTGCTGCCCTCACCCCCTGCCCCCTTTTGTTTCTGTACATTTTGTCCTTCATCCATTTGTCCTTTCATCCATTCCTTCCACACATTTTGTCTTTTCATCCATTCCTTCCACACATTTTGTCCTTTCATCCATTCCTTCCATGCATTTATCCTTCCATACATTTGCATTTCCATACATTTATCCTTCCATACATTTTGTCCTTCCACTCTCCTTTCATCCATTTCTTCCATGCCTTTCTCCTTCCACGCATTTGCCCCAAAAGTCACCAAACCTGAGTTTTCTTCCCCATTTCCATCGCTCCCTTTCCATATTTGGTATCCCCCAGTGGCTGCAGCTGGACCAGGGGAGCCCCAGCTGGGAATTGCCCAATTTCCCAGGCTCATTCCCAGCACTTCCCCACCCTCTGAAACCTCCTTTCTGCCAGAAAAAAAGAACAAAAAAAACCAAACCACCCGACAGCCTTACAATAAGGTGACGTTTTTATTATTTATACAATAAAGAGACTTTTTAATGTTATTCAAAACACTTTTTTTTTTTGGAAATACTGAAAAAGGTGGGTACAGCAAAGCCGAAAATGGCTCTGCTGCACTGCACAGCATGGGTTCAGTCCCTGGGCTCCCTCTGCACAGAAGTATCTGCAAAATGCAGCAACCCCACACGCACGGGGAGGGGACAACCTGCATGTGCCAAGGGACAGGAGCTGATTGCACTCAATCAATAGATTTAAAATAGAATTTTTGAAGTACCTTTTTGCACATAAAATGAAGCAGCTTTCAAGTTCAGTAAGTCTTTATACTGCAAAAAACATGAAGTACATTCACAATCTATGTTAATAAAGTAGTAAATATTTCCTCATTCAGCTTTATTTACATGGATACTGGAGTTCAACTGAAAAGTACAGTCATCTGGAATATAGCAATCTTTGAACACATACAAAAATGACCATTTCTGTATATAATTTAAGCTCAAAATCACAATTATCTCAAAATATTAATTACAATACAGCCATCTCCATCATAATTAAACATGTCTTTTATAAAATGGTAAAATCTTTACTAAAGGAAGCTGTTGGTTCTGAACTGGATACAGTACTCACAGGTAGAAAACCGAAGTGATGAGCGAGTGCCCTGCCCGGGGAGGGGGAGTGAGGGAGGGGACACAGCCACCACCAGCAGGTGACAGCTCCTGTGCCACGGGATCCTGACCTGCTGTCACCCACTAATTCCACTGAATCACCTGGAGTCAGCCAGGGAGAGGCTTGGCAAAAAAAGCTTTTTTTGGGGGTTGTTTTTTTTTTTTTGAGTTTTGGTTTGCGATGCCACGGTTTGCAAGTGGTGCCTTTTGGGGTTGGGTGGTGGTGCCCGGCAGGCCCCGCTGGGATCCCCCCGGGGATCCAGGGCAGCTCCCGGGGATCCAGGGATCCCAATCCTGTCCAAAAGTCCCGTGGGCATGAGCTGGGCCTGCCCTGCCTGCCGGCATCAGCCCCGGCTCTGTGCGCTTCCAAAGGGATGGGGAGGGACGGGCACGGGCAGGGAGCTGCAGCTGCACACAACATCCCCAATTTCCTTTGGGAATTCTAGCTGTGACATCCCACCAGTTCACAGAATCACAGGAGGGACCTCTGGACATCAGCCAGTCCAGCCTGGAGCAGGGGACACGGGAATGTGTCCAGAGGGGTTGGGATGTCCCCAGAGAGGGAAACCCACACCCGCTCCTGGCAGCTGTTCCGGGCTCTCCACCTCCAGGGGAAGAAGTTCTTCCTCATGCTGGGGTGGGACTTGCTGTGTTCATTTATGTCCAAGCTCTGCCAGGGTGGGTGGTGAGGCCACAGCTCCGTCACCCCCTGTGCCATTGTGGGACCTGTCCCCAGCCCTGCTGCTGTGGGACAGGCTCTGCCTGGCCAGGGGGACACGGAGCCCCCGTGTCCCATCCCTCATCCATGAGCAATTCCTGGGAATAAACACCCTGATCCCCCCTGGGAGCCATGGCCTCCCCTGAGCCCTGCCCTCAGCTGATCCCATTTCAGGGGGGAGTTCATTTCCCTGGATTTGCATTCCCCAGCAGAACTCTGCACACAATCTGTACAGAAACATTTCTGATTGCATCGGGTGGTTCAATTACAGCAGAGAGGGCTCCCAGCACCACTGGCCTGGGTGGGAAGGGACTCAGAGCCCACCCATCCCATCCCAGCCATGGCAGGGACAGCTCCCAGGGTCCCAGGCTGCTCCAAACCCATCCAGCCTGGCCTTGGGCACTGCCAGGGATCCAGGGACAGCCCCAGCTGCTCTGGGAATTCTATCCCAGGGCCTGCCCACCCTGCCAGGGAACAATTCCTGCCCCAGATCCCATCCAGCCCTGCCCTCTGGCACTGGCAGCCGTTCCCTGTGTCCTGTCCCTGCAGGCCTTGTCCCCAGTCCCTCTCCAGCTCTCCTGGATCCCCTTCAGGCCCTGCAAGGGGTTTTAACCAAGCAACACCTCTACACTCCAAGTGCTCACTACCAACAGCAAACCAACCTCCCAGACATTTCCTACTCAGATTTTTCCTGGATTTCCTTGGCTCTGCTCTCAGCTGCCCCATTCACCCTCAGCCTTGTCCTGTCTGCTCCCTGTGTGAGCCCCCTGTCCCCTCCAGGGCTGGCACTGCCACCAAACACAGATGCAGACGTGGATGTGTTAAAAAATACCTTGGAAAACATGAAACCGGATTTGAGGATGTTAAATGGTCGCTGTTGGGAACAACTGGCTGGGAACTTTCCTGGTTTGCCATCACCTGGGCAGGAACTGTGAGCTGGGAATATGGGAAATTATCAGGGGTGGAGGGTCCTGGAGGTTTCCCTGGGTCTGCAGCTCCTCAGGTCCCACAGCCAGGGAGAGAAGGTTTGGAAATTCTTAGAGAAGTGGAACATCCCTGGCTGTGCCCGTGGGCTGTGGGATTTTGGGTGGGAATGGTGCAGGTGATCCCAGAGCCAGCTGTCCCTCAGCCCCTGGCCATTGCTGCAGGGCACTGGGATCCCCTGGGAACACCTGCAGGAGGTTTCCCTGTCTTTTCCCATTTTGCTGTCAGGGATAACCAGGCTGGACCCCGGCACCTCTGAAGCAGCAGCAGCTGGGCACGGTCTGGGCTTTGGGATTCTCGGTTGGGAACAGCCCCAGGACTCGGACAGGAGGGGTTGTGCCACTGCCCCTGTGCTGGGAATGCTCCTCCCAGGCTGGCTGGGGGTCACCTGCTGCTCCCTGGGCTGTGTCAGCTCCGACACCTGCACCCACCCCTTCCCAGGACTCCAGTCAGGGATCCCAGAAAGCCTCACCCACGGGAATATCCCGAGCAGGGCCTGGAGCAGGGGGGAAAATACACAACAATGTCAATGGGGAATCTGAAATGAAAAATTAAAGAGTAAAATTAGCAGCAACAAAAGGAGTTTTACTGCCACCATCACAACCTTCCTCCATCCGTGAGCCAAACCTGCCTGTCCTCGGTGTTCTCCTGTAGTGTGTGCACATGGAATCGAGGGAAGAGCCAAAGCAAAGGAAGTTAACCCATTCCAGAGGGAATTAACCCATTCCAGAGGGAGCTAACCCATTCCAGAGGGAGCTAACCCATTCCAGAGGGAATTAACCCATTCCAGAGGGAGCTAACCCATTCCAAAGGGAATTAACCCATTCCAGAAGGAGCTAACTCATTCCAGAGGGAGTTAACCCATTCCAGAGGAATGAACCCATTCCAGAGGGAGCTAACCCATTCCAGAGGGAGCTAACCCATTCCAGAAGGAGTTCACCCATTCCAGAGGGAGTTATCTCATTCCAGAGGGAGTTATCCTATTCCAGAGGGAGTTATCCCATTCCAGAGGGAGTTCACCCATTCCAGAGGGAGTTCACCCATTCCAGAAGCAGTTAACCCATTCCAGAAGGAGTTATCCCATTCCAGAAGGAGTTCACCCATTCCAGAGGGAGTTAACCCATTCCAGAAGGAGTTCACCCATTCCAGAAGGAGTTAACCCATTCCAGAGGGAGCTAACCCATTCCAGAGGGAGTTCACCTATTCCAGAGGGAGTTATCCCATTCCAGAGGGAGTTATCCCATTCCAGAAGGAGTTATCCCATTCCAGAGGGAGTTATCCCATTCCAGAGGGAGTTATCCCATTCCA